ATTTATTTTAATAGTTATAAGTCATTTTGAATATATTAAATGTCAAGGTGTGGTATAGAGGGTTTCATATTAATTTGTCTGCTGTGGGGCTTAACATTACTGGATGTGCATTTGAACTATATGGGGAGCTGTGCTGTAAAAATCTAGAACTGATGAAACATTATATTTTTCGTGCTACAAATAATCTGAATTACACTTTAAGGGACGAGTAAACAGATGTAAGAGTTCTTTCAGTCTGTCAGAATGCCAAAGCATGAAAGGGCAAAATAATTAATTATAAGATAGATGAAACTTCACAAATTTCACTTAGATAAAATCGTACTTGCTGTTTATGCTTCAGGGATAATGTCTGCCTGTATTTAGTGGTTATGTTTTTAGCACTATAGTCTTATTCATATACTTATGATATGAAAGGTGAACAGCCTTGTTAATTACTAAGGATAATATTCTCAAAAGCCCTTCAGTGGGTGAAGGGCCACAGTATTGCTTTTTCAGCACTGAACTGTATTACCGGTAGCATAGCTGGTGGTGGCTGATGTTACTGGGGTAGCAAACTTACGCTGGATTTTAGTTCAAACTTTAAATAGCTGTAGAAGCTATTTGAAGGATAAGAATGAAACCTCTTTAGACTAAACGCTGTGTAGATTCACCACCACACTAAAATGAAAGCCTTCTGTGGTCAATGCAAAGATTTCTGCAATGGAGGTGCTAGGGGTTGTCTGCCAACAACATGTCTGTGTTATTCACTGTTGAATCCTGCCCTTGCCACGTGGGCAGTCAACACTAACCAATGATTTCTTTAGCAGTCAAGATAATTGTTGTGATGAGTGGCTCCAGATTTATGGTGGGATACATAATCAAATGGGATCTTTCTCTGGGACATACATTTTGCCATTGTAATTTGGAAATTGTCTAAGGCTGGGAAATCTAGACATTACAGACCTTAGATGAAGGTTAAAGCCTTCTTATATGTATGGAAAGAAAACCTTCTCCCACAGCTTTAAGACTTAATAGAAATTTTACATCTTTGGGTACAGTAGAGGGCACTATATGAAAGAACTTTTGGACTGTGATCAAGCATTTCATGGGAGCATTTTGTGAGTGGCTTCGAAAGCTATGAAAGAACACCATTAATTAACATCTATTATTAATTATGACGTGCAGTAAGGGAGCAGTTGAGAATCATTGTGATATGGTGCAAGAATGGGAAACATGTAGTTCTTCAAATGCCATACTACTACTTTTGTTTTTGTGTCAGGAGCAACTTGAGAAACTGCAAGTCACTTCTGGTGTGAGGGAATTGGCCATTTGCAAAGACATTGCCTAGGGGACGCCCAAATGTTTTGATGTTTTACTATCCTTGTGGGAGGCTTCTCTTCTGTCTTCGCATGGAGAGCTGGAGCTGACAGAGGGAGCTCACCCGTGCTCTCCCTGGATACGAACCTGTGACCTGTCAGTCTTAAGTCCTGACAGCACAAGGGTTTAACCTATTGCACCACTGGGGGCTCCTACCGCTACTGTTAACATCCTTCATCATTGGCTATACTAGCTAGGGCTGCTGAGGAGTTGCAATCCAGCATTTGATAACTTGTGGTTTGTGCTGGACTTATTCAAGTCCCTGCTGAACTGTGAAAATCACACAATATTGGCTCAGTCACTGACCCCGACCATAGAGTTCTTGTGAGGATAAAGTGGGGAGGAAGAGAGCCAAAGACATTGCCACAAGCTCACTGGAAGAAAGCCAGGATATCAATCCAAAAAAACCAAACTAAACAGCCAGCACCTGGCAGTGTGGTATGCTGAGTTCTTGCACCAATTTTGTCACTGGAGAACATACCACGTTCACTGGATTGATATCCAGGAAAGCTTATAGTAAATAGAATAAACCAGTTGGTCTAAAAGGTGTTACTGGATTCCTTTATGACTTTTCAAACTCTCACCTTTGACAATGGTTTATCTGGGGGTTTTTAAGCAGAGTCATGAGTGCTTTGATTGTATTTTTCACCATAACAGGGAGTGCGACTGATTGGCCCTTTTGGTCTCTTCCAACTCTAGGATTCGATGATTTCATGTTTGTATGGTGAAACTTGCTTCAAAGCAACCTGGAAGATAGTAGATGGTGCTGTATTAAGGAAATCTTGAAATAGCTTAAAACAGCATCACTTTTGAATGCCTTCAGCCACTAGGGAAAAAAACAAGGCAGAGCTGGGCCTATCTTTTCCTGCAGTCTCACAAGACTTCAAGAAAGATACAAACCAGATCCTAACATAATTAGGACCACGTGCACAGCCCAGTCCAGCCTGAAAACAACAAGGACAAAGCGAGGGTTGTGAACGTCTGGTGACCCTGGCCTCACGCCGATTCTTCTTTCTCCTTCTTTCCAGTCGCAGAGCTGTTAAAATGCTAGGAATTCCGCAAGAGCCTTGAAAAGAGGGAGAGAGGCAACTGAGTACATAATGAATAAATGGAGCCCAGAATGAACTTTAGTTTTTGGTTAAAATAATTAGTTCTGCTTTATATGTGGATGTAACATTTAAAGTAGGAATACATATTGATATTATAAATGTTTCTTTTTAATAGAATTGTAGCACTGAAAGTATCTTTTGGCAAGTTGGAAGTGACAAATAATCCTTTTTTGGGTTTCATTTCGTGAACCTTATATGCTCATGTATAAGTTGACCTCCTGTATAAGTTGAGGGCAAGCTTTGGGATCCAAATTATGAATTCTGATATGACCCGTTAATTAGTGAAGGGTTCTTCTATGGAGAAGGGAAAGCTCCAGCTATCCTGTTTTTCCAGGGAAGCATTCAAAAAGGCCAGAAGCGTTGTCACGTACAGAGTAGAGGGGCTGGTGCATCCTTTAGGTTCTCCTAGGATGGGCTAGGCTTTCACATTCTTTCACTCTACTCAAAGAAGGGGGTGGCTCATTTTTCATTTTGGTAAGAATTAAGTTACAGGGCATATTGACAACACAAGTTTTCAGAATATATATATATATATTACTAAAAATTCTAGACTTATACATAAGTATATAGTGTTTTTTCCCGTGTTAGAAGCAACTTGAGAAACTGCAAGTTGCTTCTGGTGTGAGAGAATTGGTTGTCTGCAAGGATGTTGCCCAGGGGATGTCTGGATGTTTTACCATCCTGTGGGAGGCTTCTCTCATGCCCCTAAATGAGAAGCTAGAGCTGACAGATGGGAACTCACCCCGCTCCCTAGATTCAAACTGCCGGCGTTTCAGTCAGCAGTCCTGCAGGCACAAGGGTTTAACCAATTGCACCACTGTAGCTTTAGCAGGTCTTTAGCCTTCTCTGCCAAAGAGTGCTGGTGTCTCACCCAACTACAACAACCATTGAACCTTGACAGTCAAAGTGGTGTCATCATGCCTTAATTCTACACCCTAAACCTGCACAATTGGGGTTGTAACTTGCTTGGAAGAGGTCCATCCCCCATCCAAGAGGGACAAAAACCCAGAGTCGTGCACACCAATGCAATTTTCTAAATCAAATAACCAAACTGAATCTAAAGTTGACCAAAAACTGATTCGTAACCATGAGAAGATCCAACCAGTCCATACTTCAGGAAATAAAGCCTGACTGCTCATTGGAGGGAAGGATATTAGAGGCCAAGATGAAGTACTTTGGCTACATATTGAAAAGACAGGAAAGCTTGGGGAAGACAATGATGCTGGGGGAAATGGAAGGAAAAAGGAAGAGGGGCCGACCAAGGGCAAGATGGATGGATGGTATCCTTGAAGTGACTGACTTGACTCTGAAAAAGCTGAGGGTGGTGATGGCCGTCAGGGAGCTGTGGCGTGGGCTGGTCCATGAGGTCATCAAGAGTTGGAAGCGACTGAACGAATAAAGGCATTACGCACATTCCTCAATGGCAGTTGTGAATTAGGGAAGGGACCACGTGGTCCAGAGAGAAAGGAGGGGAGGGTTAGGATAAGGTTTAGGGTAAGGTTTAGGGTTAGGATTTGGGGTAGGGTAAGAGGTTAGGATTAGGGTTAGCAGTTAGGCTTAGGGTTAGGATAAGGTTTAGGGTAAGGTTTAGGATTAGGATTTGGGGTAGGGTAAGAGGTTAGGATTAGGGTTAGCAGTTAGGTTTAGGGTTAGGGTAAGGTTTAGGGTTAGGATTAGGGTTTGGGTTTGACCATTAAAGAACTCTTACATTCCTTCTATAATATTTGGAGTGAAGCGGAAACAGTGTAACATTCAGAGCTTCCGGACCCAGCTATCCTACTATTACCCAATAAACAACAACTGCAAACCCTTTTGGCTTAAGCAGTTGAGGAGGAAAAGGGAAGGGCCTGAGGCTGTTAGGAATGGGTTTTTGTTTTGTTTTGTTTTTTTGTAGTGTCAGGAGCAACTTGAGAAACTGCAAGTTGCTTCTGGTGTGAGAGAATTGGCCGTCTGCAAGGACGTTGCCCAGGGGATGCCTGAATGATTCAATATTTTTATCATCCTTGTGGGAGGCTTCTCTCATGTCCCTGCTGAGGAGCTGGAGCTGATAGAGGGAGCTCATCCACCTCTCCCCGGATTTGAACTTGTGACCTGTCGGTCTTCAGTCCTGCCAGCACAGGGGTTTAACCCACTGCACCACCTGGGGGCTCCTTTTGTTGGGAATGGTGGGAGTTGAAGACCAAAACACCCGGAGGGCAAACTTTGCCCATGCCTGGTATATACCCTCAATGTGGTTTTATATTGTGGTTCAAATATGTGCATTTACAAAAACTGTTTTTCGAAAACAGGGAAGAAAAGAAAGAGGGAAAGAAAGAGATGGAGAGGATCTCCACATAAATCCAGGACATTAGGTGGCGGTAGGACCCAAAGAGCAAGATAGGGGACCCTTGGGGGGTTTCCTAGGGGTCCCCTGGCAGACCTTTTTTGGAAGGCGGGCCCTTCCTCCTCGCCCCTTCAGGCMCCCCCCCCCCCAGCCCCCTCCCCTTGCTTCCTTCTCTGTTTCTGAGCTGGCGGGGTTTTTGTTTCGCCTTCCTTCCCTCCTCGCCTCTCTTTTGCGGAGCTGCAGGGRGGAGGCGCCGGCCCTCCATTGGCGGGGAGACCGACAGGGAGAGGGAAAGAGGCGGCAGAGTTGGGCTGAGGCGGCGCGGAGCAGAAAGGAGGCGCCCCCGGGCTTGGCTGGCGCCCCCCCCCCCCGCCTCTCCTTTTCTCCATCCTCAGCGGGGAAGCCTCTTTCCGGAGCTCGAAAGAGGGGGAAGCGCCTGGGAGCCTCGCAACGCTCCCAAAGTGAGAGGAAGAAGCGCCTGGGTYGAAGCGGAGGAGGAGGAAGGAAGGGAAGGAGAACAGAGGCGCGCCGCTCCTGGCTCCTCTCCCCACGTTTTCCTTGTCTTTTCTCTCTCCTCCCCCCCTTTTCCTCCACTGTGCAAGTGGTATCAGAGCCAAGCAGAAGGAGGAGCATCCCGGGAGGGKTTCTTCTTCTTCTTCCAAGTCCCATCTCCTCTCGGGCTTTGTTTTGGAACTGGGCGCCCGCCTTGGAGCTCCTCTCGTTCTCAAKCCCGCCTCGAAGCCCTCCTCTTCTCCCGCCAACCACCCCCATCATCCTCGCGTAGGAAAAAGAGGGGGTTTTGGGGGGCTCGGAGCCCCTTCAAGCTGCCCCTTGGGTTTGTTCGGCGTCTCTAAAGTGCGGGGAAAGGCGCTCCCGACCCGAGGGTCTGGTTGGGCGCCTTGCGAAGGCAACACAGAGAGCGCTCTGCTTTTCCTCCTGCTCTGGTGGAGTTCCGATCCGGAGAAGCAAAGCAGGGTTTGGAGGAGGAAGGGAGGAGGCGAGGGAGGACCCTCTTCTTCTTCTTCCTCCTCCTCCGCAGTTTGGAAGAGTTTGGCACTTGGGCTGCGACCGCGCTTGTCCGCACACGCCCGCGAACAACGTACACAAACAACACGCCGCTTCCCTCCATCGCTTTGGACTCGGGCTCGCCTCTTTCCTTTTGGTTTATTTGGCTGGGAAAGGGAGAGCAGCGGGGCCACGCGGGCGGATGCCTCCCTTGTCCTGGGCTCCATGACATCGGGTCGGATTCGGGATCCAAAGGGAGTGACTTTCCTTTCCCTCGGGATCTGAAAAGGGGAAGGAAGGAAGCGCGCGGGGGGAAAGAGGGCCACGAATCTCCCCCAAAGCTTTGGCTTCCCGGGGGGAGAAAAGACCAGAGGAAGAGGCCAAGGAGGAGGGCGCGCAGGAGCCCGCGGGGCGCGATGGCCAAGCCGGGGGCAGCCCACCTCGCCGCGGCGGCGGGATTGCTTTTACTTTTGCAGTGTTTCGCCGACCGGTTGCAGCTCATCGGAGCCTTGGAGCCCAGATCGAGCCACGGTGAGGAGGGATCGGGGCCTCGAGAGGAGATGGGCAGGGAGGGAGTGCTGATTGGGCAGGGAGTGCTGATTGGGCAGGGAGGGAGGGAAGGATGGATTCAGTGATACTACTTGCCCGCCCAAAGAAAGCTCCAGGCTTGGAGTGGACAACTCTGGGGCTTTGTCCTTCTTAGATGGGGGATGGACCTCTTCCAAGCAAATTGCAACCCCAATTGTGCAGGTTTAGAGTGTAGAATTAAGGCACGTTGACACCACTTCGACTGCCATGGAATCATGGTTGTTGTAGTTGGGTGAGACATCCCAGAGATGACTCTGGGGCTTTGTCCCTCTTGGGTGGGGGATGGTCCTCTTCCAAGCAAGTTGCAACCCCAATTGTGCAGGTTTAGTGTAAAATTAAGGCACGTTGACACCACTTCGACTGCCAAGGCTCAATGCCATGGAATCATGGTTGTTGTAGTTGGGTGAGACACCAGCACTCTTTTACAGAGAAGGGTAAAGACCTTCAAAAGCAATGGTTCTCAACCTTTTTTGGACCACTTTGACCAGAGATCATTCTCCAACATTAGTACCAAAAGGGTTATGAATCAGTTTTCGGTCAACTTTAGATTCGGTTTGGTTTCCTGGAGTGCTGATTATGAAAATTACATTGGATAGACAACATCAGCTCTAGTTTCTGATACAAAACATATGCTGTCCAGTAGTTGCCATCTGCTTGTCCACAGAAAACCATATTTAATAAGCATGGGCCATGCAGAGGCAAAGTAACTGTGAGGCCACTGTTCTAAAGCTGCAACTCCCATGATCCCATGACATTCAACCATGGTAGTCAAAGTGGTGTCAAACTGCATTCATTCTACAGTGTACATCAGTAGTTCCCAACCTTTTTTTGACCAGGGACTACTTGACCAGGGACTGCTCTCCAACATCAGTGCCAAAAGGGTTATGAATCAGTTTTTGGTCAACTTTAGATTCAGTTTGCTTATTTGGAGTGCTGATTCAGAAAATTGCATTAGATAGACCACATCAGCTCTACTTTCTGATACAGAACATATGCCATCCAGTAGTAGCTATCTGCTCGCCCACAGAAAACCATATTTAATAAGCCTCTGCACAATAAGAGAGTTTCGCGAGACCAGTTGCTCTCGGTGCAATGGTGCAACAGTGAGGCTGTGGACCGTGTTTTAGTTCTTGCAGACCATTGGTGGTCCATGGACCACAGGTTGGGAACCACTGGTGTAGATGCACCTTTGGAGTGAGATGATTCTGCCATAGTGGTGGGCATCTTTTCCCTTCAGAGCATGTGCAGAGCTCTGTTTCTTTGCAGTTGAGGAAACAACAGCTCTGGTTCCCTCCTGCTGTAAGTATGAAAACATCCTTCCCCTTTGGCAGATGTTGTGCACTTGCCAGCTTGAGTTATGATGACACAAATGGACCCAAACTGGTTGACCTCCATCCATTGGGTTCTTGTCAAGCCTTCCAGAGTGTCCTGAGGTTGTAAGGTTCTCACCTGGTGTATGTGTTTGTGGGGAAGGACAATTCTTAGTGTTGTCTTTTTTTTTTTTTGGTCAACCACTCTCTTTTTTGGATGAGGGGAGTTCAATCCAGGAACTGTGCTATATAGCCTGGTGGTGGTTTTGTGTTTTGAGAATCCTGCTCTTAATCTTGAGTTGGGAGAGTTGAGCCTTATGGTTGTCCAGGATCTTTTCTATCCATCATTGTGAACCTGTAAATTGTTTAATGAACTTGAGACCCAAGCTCCCAAGTTCTCCTGACAGAGTGTTTCCTTTGCTTTCAATCTCTATAAGGACTGGGGCAGCCTCTGCATATTTCTGGAGGGAGGTAGAAAATAAGCCTACCTATAGACTTTTTGTCTATAGGAGACCTTCCTTGCAACCCATTAGCATACAACTGAAAAAGGCTTCAGCATCTTTTCCTTCCCATAGTTTGAGAGAGCTCTGGTTTTAATCGATACAGGTGAATAACTAAGACTGCAGGTGGCTTCAAGCAGGGCACGTGGAAAGCTACCTCATACTGGTTCGTTTCATCTGTACATATAATTTATTATTGTTTACACTGAAGAGTAATGGCTTTTCAAGATAGTAGACCATAGTCTTTCTCCCCAGATCTGATGCTGAGCCACCATTCTTGCTCGCTTGCTGCTTCCTTCCTTTGCTTTCTTCTCTTCAATACAAGAGCCTCTAATTCCATCTTCCTGACTTGCAAACCAGCCTCTGTAGAGCAGGCAGTAGGATTTGTTATTTATGCCTCTGGTTGCAAAGTAAGCTAGTGAAAAGGGGATCTAGTTGATTTATGAAAGAAAAGTTGAGAAGGATGAGCTTTTTACATCATAAGTGATGGAGAAGAGCATCAGTTTGTTGCATCGTCTTGTAACTTCAACAAAGTTGTATATGCTACTTGTGCCCAGGTCTTGGACTGTGAAATGTTAACATTTAAGCACTTACAGAACTAATGACTTCTTCAGTTTTTCTGTGACACTCCCAATTCCATCTAGAAAGAGGCACCCACTTGACCGTGGCTGTCTTTGTCTTCTGTCATCTGTTCTTGTGTTGGGGGAAATGTGTTGGGGAAAATGTGTATACAAATACAGCCAGAGGCTGTATTTGTCCCCTCCACCTGTGAAGTCTATCTTGTTTATTTGAATTCTCTTTCAGTTCTTCTTTCTCTGAGGGCCCTTCCACACAGCCATATAACCCAGAATATCAAGGCATAAAATCCCACAATATCTGCGTTGAAATGGGTTATCTGAGTCCACACCCAGATAATGTGGGGTTTTCTGCCTTGATATTCTGGGATATAGGCCTGTGTGGATGGGCCCTGAGAAGATTGTTCATTATTGATACCATGGCTAGTATCCCCTGCTCTCATCCTATTTCTTGTCCTCACAGGTTGCAAGCAAGAATTTCATTGGGCTGCATGTACCTTCATTTCGGGTGCAACAGTGCCATTTTCTGAACTTTTGTTACCATCAGAGAGGGAACAATAGACACCGGGCCCTTCCACACAGGCCCCATATCCCAGGATCTTATCCCAGGTTTTCTGTTTATCCCAGATTATCTAGCAGTGGGGACTCCTATAATCTACTTTAAAGGAGAAAACCTTGGATCAGATCCTGGGATTTAGGACCTGTCTGGAAGGGCCCATAGAAGAGTTGCCAGTAGTCTGGATCAGAAACTAGGTGCTCTTTTGGGATTTGCTTGGAGTGATGGGAGAGGTGATATGTGTTGCTTCCTATGTTCCTTAAGGATCACTGTTTTGTACCATGTTCTTCTCAGATGCAAATACTTCACTTAGTACAGATGTCTTACAGACACAGATGTCTTACAGCAACCAACCAAACAAAAACCAAAAAGGCTTGCAAATTTTAAGAGATTAACACTTTCTAATTGTCTAAGTGAAATTGAGACCTACTGTCAGAAGTGTTGTAGTTAGATATTACTTTATTCTTTCTCCTGTAAGGGTGTGTACATGGGAATGATTGCTGTTCTGCTTCTGCCTTGTCAATCTGATTACTCTGCTAGATCATAGTATACCCTATTACTCTGCTAAACTGTGTACTATAGAAATGCAGGAGTAATTCTTCTCTCCATGGTATATCTACGCTGTAGAATTAATGTTTCGGAGGATTGGACCTCAGTTTGCCAACTGTATAATGGCTTATCCTAAATTGTGAAAGCATGTGCACACACATTTCTGCTTCCCATACGCATGTATAAATGTACACGGAATCTCAATATGTAAAAAGTATAGGCAGTAAAAAGAAAAAAAATCTAAGCCATTCAAGAAGCACAGAAAGTCTTTCACATTCCTCTATAAATCTCAACCATATGCCAGATAAGAATAATGACTACTCACTCTAATCCTACATGCCAATTAAAGGCAACATGAATGGAATAAAATTTGCTCCTGTAGTTTAGTTTAGTTATTCTATTGTGCAGTCCTGGAAGGTTTCTTTTTCTTTTGGTGAAGAATGTTGACTTTTCAGTGTTGTCAGTTTTGATGTCAGATTTGTGCCCATTTATTCTTTTGTGTCGAAATTGATCTGTTCAAGTAGAAGGTCAGTGTTGACAGCTGATGGCTCATAACATATTGGAGGATGAGCAAGGAAATAGCTGTCGATTATGACTGACAACGTTAGTGCTGAGAATTATGTGAGGTTTTTCTTTATATATATTTTCATTTTAAATTATATATTCAGTGTTTTTCTAGAGAGCTATTATATCATGCTTGGCCCATTGTATCGTGGATAAGGGGCCCTTCCACACAGCCATATAACTCACAATATAAAAGCAGAAAATCCCACAACATTAGCTTTGAACTAGATTATTTGAGTCCACAGTGCCACATATCCCAGTTCAAAGCAGATAATGTGAGGTTTTATTCAGCTGTGTAGAAGGGGCCAAAATCTCCAAATACAGGCACACCTTGGTTAACAAAAACGGATAGTGAGTGAAACTCCTTTTAACATATTCTTTTTTTACAGGAGTCCAGTGTGACCCTCTCACCTTTTCTTGTTTTCTGTCTAACTGGAAGAGGGGTTATTTTTTGGGGGAGGGGTGCGGTACTGACTTTGGGGAGATGGAGAAGAAGGGGAGAAAGATGTGTGCCTTTCATTGTTGGGTTGTGGTAGCATATCTACAATAAACAATGAAAGGAAGCTAGGAAAGAATGGGATTCTAGCAAATACTACTGTAGCTGTGTGTGCTTATGCATAACAGACGAGGTTAACAGCTGTCTCCAGAATCACTTGCTAAGCATATGTGAAGACCAAAACAGGAAGAGAAGTGGGAAAAACAGATAAGCCTATCTCATCAATTGCTCTGGAGTATTGAAAGTGCGCAAATCAATAAGTTTACCACCAAAATGGAAATAATAAGAAAAGTTTGAAAGAACAGTAATAATCTTGGGATGCATTTCAATGGTTCTCAACCTGGGGTCCCCAGATGTTTTTGGCCTTCAACTCCCAGAAATCCTAACAGCTAG